GTGATGGGCTCAGTTTCGTTTTATCATCGTGGTAGAATGATAATACAGACCATAAAAAAAAAGAATGGCAAAGCTAACAGCAAAGCAACATTCGACCTTCTTTTCTAAGTGTGACAAAGGCACAGAGGGATGAATAGGTCACAGTACATCCAAGATGGCTGTCTAGTCTGATGGTTTACACCAAAACAACATAAATGCCACTGACATTTCTCTTTCTCTGGTCAGAAAAAAGCTCTTGGGTAAAGTAGCATTGAGAGCTCCCTCTGCTGGATCAAATAGTAACTACCTAGACATCGGGGTAAACAGGAATGAACTTTTAACTCCTAAACTGTTTGAATACAATTTCAATCTTGAAAAAAAGTGCCTGATGATGTCCAGTCCCACAACATCCAGAGACTTGAGAACATCAGGGGTGGGCTCTCATCCACCCCCGGCACCTTTCCACTGAGCAGCTTTTTGACTGCCTCAGTGACCTCTGCGTAGGAGATGAGAGAATCAGCCGCTATGTCTCCAGCCTCCCTCGGGACCTGTTCAAAGCTCTCCCAGAGGTGGGAGTTGAAGACCCCCCTCACCAGGGATTCCGCCAGACGTTCCCAACAGACCCGTAATGAACCGAAATGAACCGAACTTCAGTTCCCAGAACTGAAGAAGCCTCTTGGATGAGAGGTGAAACGTTGTCTTTTAGAAAATTCACGTCCAGTTGCCTAACAGAACTTTCAAACTTGACCATGACCTGGATGACTGAGAATCTTCATAGACACATCAAATAGTTCATTATGTTTTTGTCTAGTTTGGACAATTTTAGTAAAATTTGCTATCCTTCTAAATGCAATATTAATTCTCTGAAAAACTGCCCGCATTCTATCTTCTAATTCTGGGTGGTGTCGGAGGATATCCTGTCATTGGATTCCAATCCCCTTTAACTCTAGCCCAGTCTTTACCTGTTACTGCCTGAAAAACCTGCTGCTGCTGAACTTCAGCTCCATTCAGACAGTAAGAATTAATTAACTGTTGCATATCTGCACAACATTGCTCTGGGTCCTGCTTATATGATACAACCTCTGCAGTTGCTTTTATCACATCATCTTTTGTCCAGGTTCTATATACCTTTATAGTAAGTGGTGCCTTTGGATCATTTGGAGCTCGTGCAGGATCAGCCACTTGTATCATGGGAAAGGCGTCTGCAATGTTATCATCAAAATTTGGTATTTCTGGTGGCGAGGGGCTTAAAACATATCCTAATGATCCAATTTTGGTTCAATGTTTTCTTTGATCTAGTATTTTCAGCTATTGAATTTGTCGGCTCTTGTTTTGGTTGGTCCAAAGTTTTTAAATACAAAGATAAATATGGATACAAAGGTTGGTGGGGGGGGGGGGGGGAACGTGTCATACGTTCTTCTGTATCTGAATCATCTGAAAGTGGAGTTGCTGTATCAGCACGTGTCATATCTTCTTTTATCTTTGCATCATCTAAAAGTGGACACATTTTATCAGCACACTCTCGGTTCTTGCATATGTTTGATGCTACTGTTTCATTGGTCTGACATACATAGTTTTGTTTTTAATTGTTTTAGTTCTATTCCATTTTTTCTTGTGCAAGCTTGTTTAAGCCAACATTCAGCCACACTTAGCCCAAGCTTCTCTTCCCTTTTTTTAATTGCCTTTTGCCTCTCTTTTTATGGCAAGCACAAGGTCTTTGTGGTCTTCCTGTTTTAGTTTTCCTTCAAAACCATACTTTTTCTGCCAATTATTTAACTGTTTACAGGACTCTGAATTGTACCTAGACATGTACTTAACATCCCCTTTAAACTCCGGAGTATCTGTCTTTTTGTTACATAAGTTCGCCATTTTGATTTCTTATTTTATTCATTTTTAATTTTGACGTTTTGTTATTTTACGCTATGCAAAAAAATTCTTAATAGTTGGTCTTATCTACTTCAACTGATCAGGAGTCGTACGTTGACACCGGTAGGTTTCAGACTGCCCGCTGATTCGATCACAATTCCTCCTCAGTCAGACACATTCACATTCACTCTTTTTAGGCCTTTGGTACTCTAGGGACTGCTGCCCAGGGACTCCAACCCGCTTAGCTCTGGGGTTTACTGCCCAGAGATTTTCAACCCACTTAGTTCTAGGGATATCTGCCCAGGGATTTGCAACCCACTTATCAGAATTTAGGGAAATCTGCCCAGGGACTCCAACCCATATTTCAACCACGTGCTGGTAATAAAAAATTGTTTCTCACCCTCGTCGTCAATCTTATGCTGGTACTGGATGCCCAGGATCAGATGTCGGAGTACTGGTCTGAGTGAGAATTCACTTCCCAGGTATTTCCCCAGAACCTGGTTCTGGCCGTGCATGGTCTATAGTCGTTCTCTACCCGATCCTTAGGTTCTGCTTAATTTGTTGGCATCCGGCTCGAAGGACCAAGTTATGTCAGGTTTATTCTAACATAAATAATGACAAAGTAAACAACACAAAAGACGTCTTGATCTTTTTCTTGCAAGGGGGGAGTGCAGCTTACTCTTCTGGCAGCTTCTTCATCAACTCCGAGTTGCTGCACTCTTCCTCTGCTCTTTTATTTAGTTTATAAAAGTATCAGATCATGTGATTGTGTATGAATATATGGATAGATATGGAGTAAGAAGCTGGATGTGAAAATGGGTGTGTGACTGAGCAAATATGGGAAGCGAGCAGTTTGTTAAAGCGACTAACACTCAGATTTACACACTATCATGATTTATAAAGGATTGTTTTGTTCTCTAAATGCCAGGTTGTTCTACCCTATATCTTAACCACAGAAAGAATACTTATATCTTGTCATGCTACAGTTGTAACACAGTTACTCAGTACATTTCCACTCTTTGTCACACAAATGCTCAGTTTTTCATTCTTGAAGTTTAACATTTATGATGCAATAATTTCACTATTAGTTAATCATAATACTATAATCATAATAATCATATCTTTACAGGTAACACCGTACAGTCTTGGCCGGGGCAACCACATTCAAACAGAAATTAAGATAATCCGTCAGGCAGTGGGTAGCTCCCTCGATGTCCTCATCATCTGGACTCAGTAGTACATCCCAGTCTGTGGTGTCAAGGCAGTCTCTCAGTTCATCCTCAGCTTCAGGAGTCCATTTCCTGATAGTGCGTTTGTTAAATTATAACATTGGTGTGGTAGTGCTTGAATGTGCTTTGTTTGAATGCGTTTCCAGGTGGTAGCACCATCAGTAAGAAGGGTTTCCGAGTGTATGGGTTGGCAGTGTAACCCGTGTACAACTCATACTTACCTGGCAGGGGAGATACCATGATCAAGAAGGTGGTTCACCCAGGGCGAGGCTTAGCCATTGCACTCCGGCTGTGCTGACCCCTGCGAATTCCCCAAATGTGGGAATCTCGACTGCATAATTTCTGGTAGTGGGGGACTGCGTCCGCGCTCTCCCCTGATATACTTGTGGAACATAAATAATACAGAAACTTAACAGTAGTGATGTTCGTTACCACCAATTTCCTTTCCGATCCGATACCGAGTAAAATTCGGGCTGGTATCGCATATACCGTTATCGATATTTTATCATTTGTCTTTTAAATAAAACATGTGTATTTCAAATCATAGCTTCTTTAAGAATCCGAGGCTGAGGTTTTTATTTATTTATTTATTTTAAACTCTGGAGTGTACTGAGGTAGCTGCCTCATTTACTATACAGTCAACACAACAATAGAAAACCTTGAGAACACAATCATATAAAATATGTCAAAACAATGTTTCAAACTCTGAAAACATGTTATTTGTAAAACAAAAATAAATAAAAAAATAAAATAAATAATCTGAGGAGCCATTTGGGACCCGAAAGAGTCGGATTTTTTCAGTGAACCGAGCCAAAAGAACCGGTTCTCCAAAAAAGAGCCGAAATTCCCATCAATAGTGACTGAGTGAGAGCACGGAGTAGAGCCCCTGTGCTTAAGCATGACGCACACACCCAGGCGGAAGAAGAAGTAGTCCCACCAACCGAGCGTCACTTAGACAACATCTCAATAATTTGGATACTTTTCACCATGTTTCTGTTTAGGATACACCTCATCTCAGAATGCGTAAGTATCAAAAGTATCGATATTTTGATTTCAGAATCGATTTCAGAGCATAAAGATCCAGAATCGGAAGTATCGATATTTCAGGATCGATCCGCACATCACTACTCTATATGCCTCTTTCACATTAACATACAGAAGATCTATTGTCCTTTTACTCCTTGTGGGACAATCCACCACCTGATGAAAGTCAGCCAGTGTAGAGTCCAGAGTGACGTGATTAAAGTCACCAGAAATTAGGATGAAAGCATCAGGGTGTTGTGTCCGCAGCCCTGCTGTGACGGTGTGAATTTTCTCACAGGCAGTGGTTACACCAACGGTTATTAACGTACATGATGAGGTGAGTCCCCCATCTTTGCATGCCTTTGTGTCCCTGCTGGCTCTCACTGTCGTAAATTCTTGCAGATCCACATTAACATCGGTTACGCTGTCAGTAAGCCAAGTCTCCGTGAAGATGAACAGGCGGCACTCCCGGTATATCAGCTGGTTGTACAGCGCGGAAAGCTTGTCCATCTTATTGGAGAGAGAGAGTTTACGTCACTCATGATGACGGAGGGAATCGATGGTTTGAAACGCCTCAGTCCATCCGCTAGTTAGCCTTTATTTTAGCCCCGACTCTGCATCCTCTGTAGCTTCTCTTTATCTCTGCCGGTATTGAGAACTGGCTCCGGTTGCCGTTTTAAGATTGCCGGCATCCATCGGATACATTTAATAGTAGTACTCCGTGAAAGGAGTAAAGGAAAATTAAGAAAAGTAAAGCGAAAGTGGTAAAAACGGAATAGTGCTGCAGAGCGACCAGACGGCTGCTGTCGTCAGCACTCGCGCCATCTTGCAATTCCTACAGTATAGACTCATCTTAAAACCTTGATCAGATCCACAACAGTAAAGTAAATATCCATTTCCCAGTTCATCCAGAGCATCTTCCAGAGCGACCGTGGATCACTCTGAAGGAACGAGACCAAATGAATCCCACAGGTACCATATTCTTCTTTTATTTACTCTTTATGTTTAAGTTTTAGTTCTGCACACCTGAAAAAAAACTGTCATGTTTTAAAGATGAAACCAGTCAAAATAATTTTAATGAGATGTATTTTATATCCAATGATTCCAGTAACAACCCAAATCCACCAACTGTATTAAAAAAAATTAAAAAGTTATTACATATTTTCACAAAATTTTCCTGACCTACTTATAAAATCATGATTAATCCACAGATACCCTGTGATTAATCTCATTAAAAAATGTAACTGATTGACAGCCTTTATATTTGGCCTTCTCCAGCTGTGTTTACCGTTATGTGCTACAATGTCCTGTGTGACAAGTATGCCACGCGGCAGCTTTATGGATACTGTCCATCTTGGGCACTGAACTGGGAGTATCGGAAAAAAGGCATCATGGAGGAAATCACCAACTGTGATGCCGATATCATCAGCCTACAGGTAAATGAGGAGGCCAAGGCTTTTTTTTACCACGTGTACCGTCTGATGAACCCTTTATTTATTTACTGGTATGTGTCTGCAGGAAGTTGAGACGGAGCAGTACTACACTTTGTTTTTGGAAACTCTAAAGGAATGTGGCTATGATGGCTATTTCTGTGCAAAATCTCGTGCCAAACTGGTGTCGGAACAGGAGAGAAAACACGTCGATGGCTGTGCTGTGTTCTTCAAGACTGACAAGTGAGTTTAAAGTTTACTTTTTGTATGTTCTATGAGTATTCTATTTTTCACAGCTCTGACTTACTAGAAGACCAATTTTTCTAACAGTATACAGGGAGTCCTCTGTTTACACAATGTCCTCGAGCACCACGCCCTTCATTATGGCTGCCAAGCGGGGAGTTATTTTCACAAATGTTTTGAGTTATCTTGCGCCATAGGAACAGAATTCCGACTTAAGTTGAGGATGCCCTGTGTTTAGTTTGTGGACAACTCATTCACACACACTGATGACTGTAGAAGACATTAACTCATAGGGACACAATAGCTCCTGGTCTGTTGCTGCTCTGAGGTCAGTTTGCGTCTTCGAGGTCAATCTTGACTGAAACAAAATGAACATTTAAACACTGATGTCACAAAATAAAATGACAGCCAATTATTAACAACTCTTTCTGTGGTCCATTTGAGCTGATTTTCTCTAGAGTGAGGTTTTCTCAACTACAGCTGTCTGTTGGAAAAGATTGTCTGAAACAGACTTGAGATTAAAGAAATTTTTGAAGAGCAGCCTTTGGACTTTCCTGAAACCCCCTTCAACTTGGTCCTGCAGATTTACTCTGGTGCAGAAACACACCGTTGAATTTAACCAAGTGGCCATGGCCAACTCCAAGGGCTCCGAGATCATGCTAAACAGGGTGATGACCAAAGACAACATCGGTGTGGCTGTTCTGCTGGAGGTCAACATGGACACATTTTCTGGTGGTAAGATGTGAAGAAAAATGAGAAGTAAATGAGAGCAAAACAACCCAGCTTGTCCCAGACAATAGGAGATCATCATTTGTCTATAAATATTTTCTTCCCTCTGCATCTGAAATGTTTCTCTTCGTCTTTGTTCTCAGTCATGAAGACTCCACAAGAGCGGCAGCTCCTCCTGGTAGCCAACGCTCATATGCACTGGGACCCGGAATACTCGGACGTGAAGTTGATTCAGACCATGATGTTCCTGTCGGAACTAAAGAGCATCACTGAGAGAGCTGCAGGCTCAGTGTCGAGCGGCTCACCCACCTTTGACCCTGCCTCCGTCCCCATCGTCCTCTGTGCTGACCTCAACTCTCTGCCAGACTCAGGTAGTGCTCAGTGGGGTGAGCTGCATATGTTTCACAGGTGCTGACACTGTAGCACAGAGATTTTACCGGAGCAGTAAAACACCAGCTGGTCACGAACCTCAATCCCAGTAAAGTTCAGAAAAGTCGCAGCTTCTCTCAGGGGACATGGAATCTGTAAAGTTTGACGCTGACCCAAACACCGGATTTTGCCTTCCGGATTAATGGGGTGCTTCATTTAAGTAACAGGTTATTTTTGTGTCATTTCAGGTGTAGTCGAGTACCTGAGCAATGGCGGAGTAGCCAAAAACCACAAAGACTTTAAGGAGCTTCGCTACAACGAATGTCTGACCAACTTCAGCTGCAACTGCAAGAACGGCGTCTCTGACGGAAGCATCACCCACAGCTTCCAACTGAAGAGCACATATGACAGTAAAATGATGCCTTACACCAACTACACCTATGACTTCAAGGTAAAAACAGAATAAACTCAGCTGATTGGCTGCATAAGCTGCTCAGTCTGATTATTTTATACTGAAGACGTGGAGCGGTACGGTGACAGAGAGGACAAATTACTGTTAAATTCCAACTAATTAGTCTGACTACAACCACATTTTTATCAATACTTGTGTAAACCTCCCCCCGCCCCAACCCCCACATCCAACCCCCCCCCCTGCC